TGTGTGTGTGTGTGTGTGTGTGTGTGTGTGTGTGTGTGTGTGTGTGTATGTGTGTGTGTGTGTGTATGTGAGTGTACATATTACAGGATATTCGAACCTGTTAGGGTGTAGCTCAGGTCTTTAGCTCACACCTTTAATCCCTCTGGCTGGAATACAGATACACTTAGTACTCACCTTTAATCCCAAACAGTGAAGGTAAAGTTAGTTTGTAGAAGGAAGCACCCATGTTTGAAGTGATGTCTGATTGAGTGGCAGACAAAGTGATGAATCAGAGTAAGATATGACAGAGCAGGATCTGCCCAACTCTCATAAGAAGTGAGAGGAAAGAGAGGTTTCTTAAGGGAGAGACAGACAGTCCAGGAGGAGAAAGTACAGTACAGGAATACAGTAGAGCTGAGAGGGACAGTTGGAACAGCACAGAGACGGGGAAGGAGGCAGGTTTACCAGGAGAGTTATACAGAGACAGAATGAAGAGAGAACAAGCTAGACACAGGTAAAGACAAAATGAGCCAGAGAATGAGAAGGAGCCAGAAAATTAGAACAGACTGCTAGAGTTAGTTTCAGGCCAAGCAGAGCAATTCAGAGGCAGAGAGAGAAGCCATACTGACTAACACAGCTAGGAGAGGAGTTTGAGCCAGAACAGCTGAGTTGAACCAGCCAGTCAGAGATCAGAAAGAACTAGGAAGGGGTGAGCTTACTCTACAGTGAGTCTTAGAGACTGAAAACATTCTAGGCCTAGATAAGATTGTATGAAGGCTAGAAGCTTCCAGGACTAGACCTAGGTTAGCAAACGGAGACAGTAGGCCTCTGAGACAATAATTACTTCAGGAAAATAAAAAGTCATTGTTACATTCGTGTGTGTGTGTGTGTGTGTGTGTGTGTGTGTGTGTGTGTGTATTTGTTGGTGGTACTGTTAAAGACAGTATCATAATTGTGTAGCCCTGGCTGTCCTGGAACTTACATTGTGTAGACCAGGGATCCATCTGCCTCAGTGTCCCGCCTGCTGGGACTGAAGGTGTTAATGATCACACTCGGCCCAGTTGCTATTTGTTACAGGATCACAATAAACAGTGACACCCGGGCTTGGTGGCCTACGCCTGTAACCCCGCTGCCACAGAGATCCCAACATTCACAGGCAGGGACTAGAGAGGAGGCTCAGAGCACTTGTTGCTCTTGCAGAGAACACTGGCATTCACTTCCCAGTACCCACATAATGGGCCATAACCATCTGTGACCATTCAATCCAGGAGGTGACGTCGTCTTCTGCCCACCAGGGGCTCTAGGCACATACATACATGTAGAGAAAACACTCGTATGCATAAAATAAAAGTGAAAAAAAAGTTAAGAGCAGCCTGGGTCATAGGGCAAAATATTGTTTCCAACTCTCCCCAACACACAAGAGAAAGAGCCATGGAGAGTGTGTGGTGTTGCCCTGGTGACGGCCGAGTCAGGCTCTCATAGTGGCTCCATGGTGATAGGCTGCTCCGAGTCCCTCACTGAACACAGATGGCAAATCGGGGCTTCATCACACGGGCAGCTGCACACACTCCCTGAACCACGGCACAGCCACCCAGGGCAGGCTGTCACAGGAAGTGCAGCTGCCATTCCTTATGGCATCCTGCCTCACGGAATGGACCTCGAGTCTCAACAGAGATCTAGAGCCTGCTACAAATGGAAAGTGAAAGGAAATCTGTGAGCAGATGTCACTTGATGTCACCACGGGGAGGTGACCATCCCAGAGTGGGGTATTCTAACTCAGCAGCTCAGTGATCTGGAGACAAGGAGAAGACAGGATGGCTGGTGTGTGGGGCGGGGAATGTTAGTAAAAAGGGGACTTAGTACAGGCTATGGGTGTGGTCAGGGTCCTAGGAGGTTGGGAGAGGAGACGAATGGGAGAGAGGGCCAAGCAGGGTGATGTCAAAGAACCAGCACCAGTGCCAGTCCAACTGTAGTACCTGCCCACACTACAGAAGGGCTGTAACTCGGGGTCACTCCTGTCAGGTGTGACCCTGACACAATAAATGCTGGGTGGGTGAAATGACACAGTGTCTAGAATTTGCTTTAAACTTTTCTAGGAAAAAAAAACAAGAGGGATCTTAGGCCTCATGGAATTTGCAGCGTTCACAGCTGCCGACCCTAGCACTGGCACGTGAAAGTTTGTAATAGTCCTTACTTCTCTGTTTGAATAAAAGCGTCTCTCTTTTTTTTATAGAGAGACTTTTTTTTAATATTTATTTATTTATTTTATGGATGTGAGTACACTGCCGTTCTCCTCAGACACATGGGAAGAGGGCATCACATTTCATTACAGATAGTTGTGAGCCACCATGTGGTTGCTGGGAATTGAACTCAGGACCTCTGGAAGAGCAGTCAGTGCTCTTAACCGCTGAGCCATCTGAATAACCATACAGCCCCCTGAATAAAATAAAAAGCTTCTTAAAATTAGCTGCTCATACGCTTGGGAGCAGGACACAGCCCCCCCCCCCCAAAAAAAAAACAACCAAAAAGCCTCCTATGATTAAGAGAGCCAAGAGGAGGCCTAAGCTTCTTGGGAATTTACAATCCAGACAAGAGTACAGCCTGGAGCCATGGGCCTATCAGCCCAGCTGCCTCAGAGGCTGAGAACTTGGAGAACCTGTCTGAAAATTTCAAAGGTAAGTAAACAAAAAGAGGGCTTGGGAGAGAGCAGAGCAAGCACATGGCCCTGCGCTTCATCCCCCAACATGTCTTCAAAGAGGCTATGTGCACAAGAGCCCTGCTCACCTGGGACGGATAGAAGTAACAGATGCCAGCTCTGGTTGGGTCTCCTTCTCCCTTTACCTTGGAACCGTCGTATAGGAAAAAGTAGTTCCACCTGGCAAGAGAACAGAAGAAAGCCATGGGTCCCCCGCTAGTGACAATGATAAGCTCTAGTGACACTTTCTCTCTAGTTCCTGGCTCTGGGAGGGCTTGGTGCTCAGCTGCCAGGAAGAGTCCAGCAGCCACAAGCAGATAAAGCTGCTGCCAATGCACCACAGGCAGACTACAGATATGCCTGTGCACAGCAGTCGGCCCATCTGCCGGGTGAGGCAGCCGCTCCTGCAGGAAGCGTATCACCCATGGAGGGCTGCTGTTTGAAATCCTCGCCCTTAGCAGCCCAAACACAAGGCCTGCCATGTTTCCCTGCTGTGTTTCTAGGTTCTGGTGACAAAGTGAACCCCTGGGCTTCTCCGGAGCATGCATGGGTGGGAAGTGGCCCTTCTGAGGACTCGTGGACTCACTTAACAGATATAAATGGAGGGCCTGCAACAGACATGCACATCCAAAACAGGAAGACAGCAGCCTTTGAGAGATGATGGAGGAACATCAAATTCCTCCCAGACTCTCGAATCCTAACAGCAGCTTAATCTGGCTCCCTCTCGCCTCCCGCCTTTCCAGATCCCTCAGTGTAAGGGACTCTTTCTTCTGAGTTTCCAGCACCTTCTGTACTTTTCTAAAGACCCAGACAGGTCTCGCTCTGTAGCCTGGGCTGACCTCAAACTGCACAGCCTCCTGCCTTTGCCTCCCTCTCAAGTTCTGGGACTACAGCTCAGCCAGGACTGGCTTGGGAAGGCTAACTCTGAGGTAGCCATCACCTGTCTGCACAAGGTGAACTAGGCAGAGACTGGGCTTCAGTTGTACTCTCAGCCTCTGAGAGCACAAGGACCAGGCCAGGGTAGTAGCCCACTTCGCTTTCCTTCTGACAGACACCTGTCCCAGCATCATCCGCTAAGCTCCGAGGCTCAGTGTGCAACTGGTCACAGGTTAAATGGTGATCAAGTTTGTGAATTTTCAAAGCCCACTGTGGACCAGCAGCCGCCACCCCGCTCCCCTCCCACACTCTGAAACCATCCCCTCCTGTACCTACACTACACCTCAGGCATCATTTGGAATGGCTCATGTAATCAGTTGCTAGGTCTGCTGAGTCCAGTCAAGCCGCCCCGCCCCCTTCACTGTCACCTCTCAGGGGCATTTGCTGAACCAGGTTATGAAAAAGGATGACGCTACAGAGGGTGGATGAGGGAACCAAGTTTCAGGCAGACATTGTGCAACAGCCTTAAGAGCCAGACTGGCCAAACCTCAACTGCAGCCATCCTGCCTCTCCACAGACACAGACAGTCACACCCAGGTGATCAAGATTGGTTGCACCCTTCCAGTCATCTGCTGGCAGTGCCTGGGGTGGGGTTGGCAAGGTGTTCTGGGTTTTGCTTATTTTTGCTGTACTAGGGATTGAACCCAGGGCCCCTGGAATGTTAGGTGAACCCTCTACCACTGGGATATATCTAGCCCAAAACTTGCAAGGTTCAAACACATATGCTCTGGAGAAAAATGGCTTCCACATTTAATGAGGTTGCTCTAAAGAAGAACAGCAAGGCTAGCCGGCTGAGGCTTCCAGTTTACTCAAATGGTCCTGGAAACAGCTTCAGGCAGGTCTGGACACTCACCAGGCTGCTGACTTTGTCTCTGGGAAAGTGGAGGTGGCCATTTACTCTCCAGATGGCTTCATCCTCTTCATCTGTCCCCAACTGGTGTCCCCAGCCCAGGAATGCCAGGTGTGGTCAAGTCAGGTGGTTTCTGTCTCTTGTTCACACTTCAATCAATATGAAAAGGCAACTTCCCTTCTGGGGAGGTTCATTTCCAGAAGCATCTCTGCACGGCTGAGAAGTCCAAGAGGGAACGGATTGGAGGTGGACTATGAACTCAACAGTCTGTGGTCTGCTTTCAAGGACATCCATATGGCCGTCTACACTGGGACTTGTTCTAACTGCCCCCAGGGAGCTCCATGGCAGGAAGAAGCATGCTGGATGGGGGGAGGCAGCTTCTGATAGGATCTCTGACTTTGTGTACAGTTCAAAGCCATCCAGTGAGTCCAAAAGATCCAAAGTTTACAGTTCACACACACCGGTTATCTCAGCTCTGAGGAAGAACAAAGAATCGATTCTTTCAGAAGCCCATGACCGTGCATGTGACTCACAAGATTCAATAAACAGTTCATTTCAAACCAGCCTTCAAAGTTTGTGTTTCAGAATAAAAAGAAAGTGGGTAGCAGATACTTCAAAGACCCTTCTTTTTTTTTTTTTTTTCAGCAGAAAATAGTCAGCTTTGCAGAAGGGAAACCAGACAACCAGTGTTGAAGGTGCTGGGTGTTAGGAACCACACAAATCAAATGGTTCCTAAATTAAGGAACTGGCTCTCAGGAGCCTAATCAGAATGTGCAAGAGAGAACTTTAACAGAGTGCCCTTCATTTTAAACTCCCACCAGGGGAAGACAACTCAGTGTATCATGGGATACTCTGCCAGAAAGAACCTTAGCTTCACTTACTCTAATCCTTGGCTCCTCGAAGGGAACTGTCCAGAAACAGGTGGTTCAAGGTGTTAAAGTCGTATTTCACTGTGTGGATAACACTGCGTAGAAACACACACACAAAAAATGGTTTAATCCTTTCCCTTGACAACTCTTTGGTCATTTTCATCTGTAATCCTAATTCCACTTTCCTAGTTAAAATTCCTTCAGGGACACGGTCTCCAAAGCTAGCACAATCTGCCATCTGTGGAAACACAGTGTGTTAAAGTCTCTTAGGGAGGGAGCCAGGGATGATAGCTTTTAATCCCACTGCAGGGGAAGTAGAGACAGGCAGATTGCTGAGTTCCAGGCCAGCTATGGCTACAAAGTAGGACCCTCTCTTAAAAGCAAGCAAACTCACTTAGAAAGAAGGAAGTGCCCAAGGGGCATCCCCCACGAACCCGAAAAGGCCTCAATATCTGTCATCTCGGCTACACACACCTCGTTCTACAGCGCGCACAAGGAGGCGACTGCGTAGGGCATCTCAGTTCCTGGAACCCACCCATCCCATTCCCAGAGGCCTGGTCGGAGGGCCTAGCAGCTAGTTCACAAACGTCGCGATGAGGTCAGTGATCGTCTAATGAGTAGGGACCTGAAGAGGCCCTGGCACCCTGAGGGGATAGCAGGAGGGCTGTCCCGATGCGCGCGGGGACGGAGGGAAGTCCCTCGGTGGTCAGGAGCCGGGACGGTGCAGCCCGATCGCCCGGGTCTCACGCCCATCCCGCCCGCCGGGAGACCGAGCTGCCCGCGGGACAGCACCCGATACCTGCACCCAGCCGCCCGGCGATCACGCGCGGACCCACCTCCCGCCTGTGGGGGCTTGGCGATGACGTACGCTGTGACGCGAGCCTGTGACGTCGGCGGCATGGCGGCCGCTCTGGCGCGCGCTGGTGACGTCAGTGACATGGCGGCGACCGTGGCGGCTCCGGAACCCTGGAGAGCGGTGGCTCCGCGGAGGAAGCGCGCGGCGGGGAGACGGCCGCAGCAGGCCGAGGGACCTCGGGCCGATCCGGAGGCGGACGGCGAGGCGGTGCTGCGCCGCCTGCGGGAGGCCGAGTGAGTGCAGCGCCGAGAGGCCACTCCAGCCTCAGTCTCCCTTACCTGGAAGTGGGTGTGCCTACCCGCTGGGGAAGGCTGAGTTCCCCTCGGGTTGCACTGTAGCAAGCTCTCGGTAAAGCTGCCATTCCCGTCGCTGCGGTTACGGCAGCTTGCCATTCTGTGCCCCTCCGTCTGTCATCTTGGAGATGGAGGTTTAAACATTACGTAGGGATGCACACAGGATTATGTGATGTGACCGTAAAGCACTCCCTGGCACCTGGTAAGCTCAGGGCCGGGGTGTACAGTTCATGTTAGGCCCAGGGATGATTGTTTTCTTTAGTTCATTGCTTTTGGTTTTATTTACTTGAGGTGAGGGAGGAGGGTGTCACGGCGCGTGTGTGGCGCTCAGAAGACCACTCCTTTCGCTGCATAGGTTAGGATAATCAAAGTCATGTCGGGCTTGGTGGCAAGATCCTTTACCCTATAAATCATCAGTTCTGAATTTGGAGGCAGGATCTCATACTATAGCTTAGGCTAGCCCAGCAGGCCATGGAACTGGAGGAGATCCCGCCTTTGCCTCTCCTAAGGCTAGGATTACACGTGTGGGCCACGCACCGCATTGGTTATTCTCAAAATCGAGGTTGCAGCAAACACAGATGGCCTCAGGACCAGGCCTTAGTGACATCCAGACTCTCTTACATTACACCCATCTCCCCACAGCTAGGTCTGTACCTTCCTACAGGGCACATAAACAGTGCCCACCATACGCAGGCTACGACGCCATGTTCTTGCCTTTTGTAGTTGTGGTCTGGCAGGGCTAGGTTACAAATGTTGGTAGCATTTCAGATGGGTCAGAAGGGCTGTGACGAGGGGCGCAAGTTAGACCCAAAGAGCAGTGGTGACCCAGAAGTTATCTCTGAACATGGAAAAATTACTGTTGGTGTGGCTGGGGCAGTGGGGTAGGGAGGACAGATAGAAGCAACAAGCACCATAAGGTCTCCGATTCCTGAGATGAAGGTGCTTGGAACCTGAACTCTCAAGACACACACCAGATAGTTTCCTCAGCTGCTTTGGAATCTCCCAGAGTGCCCTGCTTCTCCCAGCACCCTTCCTCGGGTGTGGTCATCACTCGAGAACATAGAAAATCTCATCCTAGACTACCTAGAATATACAAAGTACCTCAATGTATCAGGTACTCCTTCCTTGAAGAATGTAGGTTGCCTGGGGGCAGTTCCTCTTTCCTCCTCTTCTTCCTCCTCTTCCTCCTTCTCTTCCTTCTTCCTCTCTCTCTCTGTCTCTTTCTCCCTCTCCCCCTAAACATTGCCTCTGGCATATTTAAATTCACTGTTGATTGTTCTGCCCTAGGCTGTGGAAACCAGCCGACTTGAATAAAGAGCCAACCAGACCCTTGGACTTCCTCTTTGACTTTCCCTTTAGAGTTATTTATAGTGGGGAAGCAGTATATTGGGTTCCTGCTGAATAACTCATTCATTCCTCCTGCTACTCTACAGTCTTGAGAGGATACTCCCATCAGAAAGGCTAAGTCTGAGGACTTCCTAGTATTTATTGAACTGCATCTCTCTGAGGCTAAAGAGGCAGAACAGACCTAGACCATCCCTGGGGCAACCAGGGCCTCTTGATGGAGTTCCTTTTTTTAAAAAAAAGACCCAGCAGTCTATATCCAGGCCATGGGAATGTCATCCAGTAAGGGCTGACTCTGCATCGGAGGGTCCACCATCCCCCATGCATCTGGCTCACGGTCAGGACTACAATGGCCTAAACAAGAAGGGAGATGATGACCCTTGTCTTCTCAACAGGGAGGACCTGCGGATCTCTGATTTCTGCACTTCGGCACTGGGTGAGTATGTAGGGGTGAGTAGGGGAGGTATAAGAGTGGAAGGGGGCCCCCTCCCTGAAGGAGGGGAAAGGACATGCTCCATCCGAGGACATTTTGCTTCAGAGTCTCACTTGTGGTGGGTTCTGATGCTGACTTCCTCAGAGCTGTGTCTATGGCACTGACCACTGTGGTAGAGGTGGAGGTGTATATATCCTACAGTGTAGTTGTAAGCAGGAAGTTAGGTGGGAAGCGCTCGGCTCTCGTATAGAAGGCAGTAAGTGCTGTTAGTCATCGAGATGGCTAGGTTGTATTCAGATCCCACTTTTTCCTTTATGGTGTAGACCTTCCCTCTTGCAGATGTGTTCTTGATACAGTTTGTTCAGCATGATCCTTAGGGATGACAGGCGGTGTTTACACTGTATCACGGGGATGGACAGGCGGTGTTTACAGTGTATCACAGGGATGGACAGGTTGTGTTTATACTGTATCGAAGGCTCCTGTTTTAATCAGATGAGCCTCACCTGTAGGCTGCAGTCCCCAGAGTTGAGATTGTTAAATGAAAAGGCAGTGTCGAGTTACCATCCAAAAAGGTTTTAAGGGTTCTCTTCCCAGCAAGGACTTACAGTTTCTGGATCAGTCTTTCCTCACCTGAAGTATCTGTTCAAAGATGGCTTTGACACGTCGGTGAAAAAAACAGCTTCCTTAGTGTTGGGGCAAAGTGTTTTGTTTAGGATGGTAACCTAAAAGGAAGGTCTGGAGGTGATGTGGGCAGTGGTTCTGAACCTAGCCATTCAGTTGCCTTTACAGAAGCCATCAGCATTCAAGAGCACAAACATCTCAGACACGTGGCTTTAGATGAAAACCTTGAAATGCAGTTTTGGGTTCAGGGATGTAGAATTCAGGATCCCAGCTCTAGTGGCCTGGACACAGATCTAGGGTGTGCAGCTTCTCTCTGGGTGTGGAGGACTGTTGGGTTTCTTTCAGAGTCCTGGCTCCAGGGATCAGAGTATGCAATGCAACCACATGTGGGGAAATGGTCTTTCAGAAACCGTCACCGAGTGTCTTAGGAAACAGCTGGAACAACTGCAGCCCCTAACGGATGCCCTTGGAAGGCTGCACCTTGGCTCACCGCCTGGTGGGCCAGGGGAGCCCTTGGCCTCGAGCCTTTCCCGTGTGAAGTGTGTCTGCTATGGCCTTGGGACCTTTGCCTCCTGCCCCACTGCTCGGGTCCAGCTTGCTTTTATGCTTCTCTTTCTGGAGAAGTGCCAGGTGAGCCTGTCTTCCTCTCCCACCCCTGGCATATGGTGCATGTGTGCCTGGAACTGAAGGACCCTTCTTCCCTTCCAGATCCCCAGAAGCCAGTGCTGGGTCTATGACCCTCTGTTCAGTCAGACTGAGGTTTCGGTTCTCACCTCTCTCGGTGTGACTGTCCTCGGTGAGAATGAGGTAGGTGCTTTCATCTCCTCCAGACCACCCGCCCCTGCTAGTGGACAGGCTTTCCCACCGGCCCTGACGTGCTGCCCTTCCTAGAGCCCAATATCACTCCCACTTTTGACTGTTACACTGTGAAAACTTGAATCAGCAGTATGAACTAATGTGCTAGGCTTGCAAAACCCTTGAGTCCAGAGCCTGGAGAGATGGCTCGGCTGTTAAAAGCACTGACTGCTCTTTCAGTGGAAGGTTCCCATGTGGAGGCTCACAGTCAGTTCTAACTCTAGTTCCAGAAGACCTGACACCCTCTTCTGGCCCCTGCAGGCATCAGCCATGCATATGGAAAACACATAAAGAACTAACGGAAACACACACATGGATAGAACCTGATGGGTTCTGTCTGGTTCTGTATGAGTTCTGGAAATCACTCAGGTTGGACTGTCCTGGTTAGGTGGCAAGCACCTTTATCCCCAACCCCTTTGTAGGGTCTCTGTGGCCCAGGATAGTCTCATAATCCTAGTACTTTGAGCAATAGTGAGACCCTACAACACTCGCCTCAGACCAGCCTTTGAGTGCTGGCTCTGTGCAGAGAGGAGAAAATAGGTGAGGCCTGAGGTCACCTATAACCTGTAGAGACCAAGCACAGCAGCAGGGTTGGCCTGTGCACTGAGAGCCATCAGAAGGCTGTGTCCAAGACCACAGGCAGCTCCTGAGGAGGCAGCCATAGGACACCAACATGGCTTTATGCCTGACAGAAGCTACAGGGAGAGATGCATACAGAGGGGGCATGGCCAGACAGCTGTCAGGTGACTGTCCCCACTGTGGTGAGGATCTGCAGTGATGCAGGGTGCCTGGAAGATCTGGAATGTAGGACATGGGGCAGTCATCTTCCTTTAGCCAGCATGGGTCCCTTCTGGACAGGAGTCCTGGAGTCCCGTACAGACATCAGCTAACTTACTGACGTAGCCATGCCACAGAAGAGCTGGGCTTTGCCCTCCGCTCCTTAGCACCCGTTCTGCTGATTCCACAGGAAGGCAAGCGCAGTGTCCAGGGCCAGCCCACTGTCTTCTACATGCCGCACTGTGGGACAGCTCTATACAACAACCTGCTGTGGAGCAACTGGTCTGCAGACGCCCTGTCCAGGGCGCTCATCATCGGGAACAGCTTCCGAGGCCTCGAGGAAAGGTGAGCCGTCAGCAGTGCCAGGCCCATCTTCCCCACGGGCGACTGGGTGAAAGGTTTAAGGGTCCAGCTTAAAGCACCGAAGGAATCTGCAGACATCCCTCTTCTGAGGGCAGAGGTGTGTGGGCAGCCATGCTTTAAGTGCGCAGACACACCTGATCTGCCTCACGGTGCCCACCTGTGCTGCCCTCCTGCATATCCCTCAACCCTTCCTGAACTCATCTTGTTTTTACCTGTCTTAAATTGAAAAAGAAAGCAAACACACACATACTTCCAAATTGTGTATGTGTTTTTATTTGCAGGTTGTTGGCGAGGATTCTGCAGGAAAATTATCCCTACATTGCAAAGGTGTCTGACAGAATAGTCGGGTTGGGTGGGGGTGCAAAGCCACGCTGTCCGTCCATGCTTCTGAGCACAGCTGGTACCGCTCCTACTCTGTGCCAGCGGGTGAGCCCACGTTCCCACTGCTTGTGGGACTTAACAGCGTTGAAATACAAATCCCCATTTCTTATTTCTCAAAAGGACAGCGGGGTGGCCAGGTGCACGAAGAGTGGGGCATACCTAATGCCTGTGTCTGGACCTCTCCACTCAGATTCTGAAAGGCCTGGAGGAGGTCCCACTGCCTCAGACTCCTCGGTACACCGACACCTTTAACGACACATCTGTCCACTGGTTCCCGCTACTGAAGCTGGAGGGATTGCCTGGGGACCTGTGGGCATCCCGGGAAGAGCCTGACTACCAGAACTGCGAGGACCTGGAGATCATCAGGAGACCCACAGACCGCTTAGCTGGAATAGCAGGACAGTTCTCTGTACCCACGGTGCACACCACACCAGATCCTTTGCCAGGCCAGGAATTCAGCCTGACTGGGGACACCGAGTCACATCCTGCCCTGGTGGCCTGGTCTCCCAAATAGAGACATTATTTCCCAGCTTGGTTCACAGTGCTGTTTATTCACACCTGCATGTGTGGCCGATGTCTACTTGGCCATGTCAATGAGGCTCTGCAGGGAGGTGGGCACCCACGTCTTCTCACCCTGCACAAACACCACACCCCGGTCAATGTAGATGACAATGCGGCCGAAGGTGTAGAGCTGCTTGCCCTCGTGCCGCTTGCCGATGACAGGCATGAACACGATGTTGTGCTCCTCGGCCTTGGTCTCAATGAGGTCCTTAAAGTTCATGGGCACAGAGCTGGCAGCCACACCGATGCCCCTCTGTGCCATGTTCTCAGCCTCCCGGCGCTCCTGCATGGCCTCGTACTGGAAGTCCTTCCTGCGCTCCGTGTGGGTGAGGTAGGCAATGTTCTCCCTGGCACCTGGCTGCATGTAGGCACCTGAGAAAGATAGCACAAGTGATTCCTTCTGGATCATGAGATGTGGGTAAGGGCTGAGCCCACGAATGTGGCCCCCCCCACTGAAATCATTTATGAGGTCACCTTGTAGTCTAGCATGGCCTCCACTCCTTCTATTGCCCCGTGCTACAGAGCCCCTCTGTGGTTAGGAGTATGTATTGTCTGCAGAATCCAGTTTGGTTCCCAGCTCCCAGTTGAGATGGCCCACAACTGTAACTCTAACCCCAGTCCCATGGGATCTGACACCCTCTTCTGGCGGTCCATGGCACTGCACTTATGAAACTTCAAATGGAAAATACATTTGGGGAGCTAGAGAGTGGTGACTGAAGGATTGCAGTGTGACCCAAATGCACATCTGTGAGGGGTGCAGGGGAAGCAGTGCTGGGAACATGGTCTGGGCAGGGTGAGGGGAGGTAGGGACAGGTACAGGAGACAGCAGTTCCCCTCCCAGATGCCACCCTGGAGCCACGCAGCCCTCCATAAACACGGCCTTGCCAAGAACTGAAACAGCCGGGAGGCATCCAGGCCCGCGCTGTGCATTGAGCTAAGTGGCAACACCCTTGGCTTCTGTGACTGCATGACACAGCTGCCCTGGGCCTCGACAGTGCACAGTGATTCACAAGGACCCAGCTGCCAAGTTCCATAAGCGTGAGCTTAGCCCTCGAGTAGCCTGTGAAGAAGGCACTAATACTGTTTCAAGGGCGCAGAGCATCAGAGAGGCGAGCAATGATCCAGTGCCTTCTGCACAGCAGTGTGGGAAGGCTCCCTGGAGCCAGACTCAAGCTCCTGTCAGCCTGTCACAGACAACATGGTGGGGCCTCATAAGTAGCTAAGTCCACTGGACACCGTCTAGAGAGTGAACTGACACAAGGTGGCCTCCCAAAGGACCAAACAAACAAAAAAAGATCAGTCAGTGTCATGTTTAGGAAACAGGCCCAGGGCATCCCCACCAGGAACCCTACTGTGGTGGTTTGAATATGCTTGGCCCAGGGAGTGGCACTATTAGGAGGTGTGGCCTTGGAGGAAGTATGTCACTGGGCATGGGCTATAAGACCCTCCTCCTAGGTGCCTGAGAGAGCCAGTCTTCTCCTGTTTGCTGCCTTCAGAACAAGATGTAGAACTCTCAGCTCCTCCCTCGCCAGGCCTACCTAGACACTGCCATGCTACCACCTTGATAAAGGACTGAACCTCTGAACCTTGTCCTTTGCCTTGGTCCTGGTGTCAGTCAGAGCAATGATACCCTACCTTAGACACGTACTCACCCACGTTGGAGGACACGGCCCTGTTCATGATGTCGAGCGCCTCATTGAACTTGTCTTTGACAGAGGGGTGTGCCAGCACCTGGTCTGAGAACAGGGACTTCCAGCCCAGGTACCACTCAGTGACCTCCTCGTAGTTGGGGCTGTTACTGAGCCAGGAGCACAGCACCTGCCGAAGGGCACAGGACGTGGAGCTGACAGCTGCACGCTGGGCCCTCCAGCAGGCACCAGTGCACTCTGGAGCCGTCCAGCAGGCACCAGTGCACTCTGGAGCCAGCCTGCGGCCTCCGCAAAAGCCCTGATCTCCACACCCCTCCTGGACCACACTGCTCACCTGAAGCCACTTGGGGAAGAAATGCTTCTCCAGCAAGCCCACCAGGCTGGAGAGGGAGATCATCCCCTCCCAGTCCATCACCCAGTAGAAGGCGTCCATGTGCTGCTGGTGGGGGTTGATGACGAGCTCCCCCAGGCACATGCCTGCAAGAGACGGCAAGGCGGACGCTTCAGTCTCGGGCCTGCTCTTCCATTCTACGCACAGTGAATTCCCATGATTCACGGGCATTTAAGAGGTCAGTGCTGGGGCCAAAGAGATGGCTCCTCCAGAGGTCCTGAGTTCAATTCCTAGCAACCACACGGTGGCTCACAGCCATCTGTAATGGGATCTGATGCTCTCTCCTGGTGTGTCTGAAGACAGCTACAGTGTACTCATATACATTAATATTTAAAAAAAAAAAAAAAAAAGAGGCCAGTGGCTCTCTGGTTCTGACATGCGGGCAGCCGTGAAGGAAACCCACTAGGCACAGAGCCAGAGCCAGCCCTGCAGACCTTGGTCAAGCTGTGAAGGAACAGCAGCCAGGCCCTGGATCCAGTCCCGCCCACCTCTGCCCTAAGTAGTGTGCCTGTGGTGGACCCTGGGTCAGCTGCACGCGGCCCCCGATCCCCGTCCTTACCCAGCTTGGGCACGATGTTCCTGAGCATGAAGGCCTCCCAGGACCCCGGCGTGAGCACCTCCTTCCAGGGCTGCAGGATGAGCTTGGCTGAGGCGTCACTAGGGTGCCATTTCTGCAGCGCGCTGGACAGCTTGCTGCGCACAGGGGAGTAGAGCGGCTCCAGGCGGGCCTGCATGAGCGGCAGCCACGGGTGGACCCAGGAGTGGATCGGGACGGTGTCCGTCAGGGGGTTCCAGTTCTCCACCTGCAGGATGCGTGGGATGAGCATTGCAGCCCAAGGACAGTTCATGACACAGCAGAGCTGTCCTTAGCGAGAGGCCTGTGTGTCCTGACCGAGGGCCACGTCCTCAGTGTGCGTGTGGAGGTAAATAGTAGGCATTCTGTCCTCTAGGTCCCTCCACAGAAGAACATCAAACACTCATGTCTGCCACCAACTCAGCCTCAGCACGGCTAAGGTTCAATAAAGGCACTGAGAAAAGCAGCTCCCACTCGAGGGAGGGAGGGAAGGGGGTACTATGGAGAAGGCTAGAACTCACACTGCAGGCCACCAGCCATGCTGACAGCCCTTCAACCTCAGGGCTCTTGTGCACAGGTAAGAGACACTACACTGTCAGAGCTCGGTCCTACCTCCTTCTGCAGCTTAGGGAAGATGAGCTGGTCCAGGATATTGTCCAGGATCCACACAGGGATGATGTGTACCCAGCTGTCCAGGAAGTCCACCATTGGCTCACAATTCCTCGGTTGCCACTGGGCGACAACATTCCGAACAAAAGGCATCCAGACCTCCCACATGAGCCTGAGAGAGGCAAGGCAGCTGGTCACCCACACTGCAGGCCTCACAGCGCTCACAGCACTCACAGTGTGCCAACCCACAGATCCCCACAGGAGACCTCAGGGCAGTGCCCACAGGGGCCCCTGTGATGTCCTGGCTCTCGGCCTCAGGCTACAGGCCCATGTGGCTGAGTGTCAGCACAAGGCCATCAGTGGCTTTCCCAACAAGGGCCTCAGTTTACAGCACTGCTCACACCCGGGGTCACAGCTTCAATGTCCCCTCCTGAGACACCCTCTGTACTCTCTGTCCTAGTGCACTCTTGCTTCTCACTAGTCACCTGCACTGCCTTTTCCAGACTGCGTGAAAACTTCTCATGGTCAGGGTGAGCCCAGCTCCTGAACACTTGGGACACTCAAAAGACACATGGGTCTCCAACCCCCAGACCAGAGCAGCGCCAGGGTCCACAGGGTCAGAATGTCTGTCACCCAGCCTTTAGCACAATTCTGCTCCTTGATATGAGGGAGTACCGTGGGGTGGGCCCTGTACCTGTGGAAGGCATCTGAGGACAGGTCCTGGCTGTTGTGAGACAGCAGCTGGTCGTTCTCCAGGAGGCTCTTCCACTTGGAGATGATCTGGGTGCCATAGCTGCTGTCCTGCAGAGCATAGTGTTGTCAGCCTTCCCACCTCAGGAGCCACGCCCCAGCCCAAGAGCAGGCTGCACCCTAGCTCACCTCAAGGGGGTGCCAATTCTTGAAGTAGTCTTTCACGAGCGGGTAGACGATGGCCACAGCGAGGTCTGCGCGGTCCGCCAGGCGGTACTCCTCGTAGTATTTGTCCTGCAGTGTCTCAAAGATGTGTGCACACTCATCCAGCGTGAGGGGGTCAGCGCCATGGGGCTGCATGCGACGCTCACACTCCTCTACCAGGGCCAGCACCTTGCTGAGGTTGGAGATGACTCGCTCCTCGTGTGCGAGGACCTCAGCCGTCTTCTCGAGCTCGTGCGACAGGCTGACCACCATGTCGCGCTCGTACTGCAGCTGCCGGTCGCTCTGGATGATCTCCTGCTCCGTGCGCTCGATGAGCAGCTGCAGGTTGTGCTGCAGCTCGGGCAGCGCAAAGCCCGGCACCTTGGCTTCCTTGCCGGCCGTGGGAGGCAGCTGCGCCAGCAACGGCACGCCGTCGTCAGGCACACTGTGCTTGTGGCTGATCTGGCTGTAGCTGTAGTACACCTTCTGCTCCCGGCCTGTCATGTCGATCACCTTGGAGACAGGTGACCACTGTTAGCACCACTGAGCAGGGGGACGTGACACTGAACAAGGGTCAAGAGCTCTGCGAATGGACAGACCCACACCATCTCACACTAACAGGTCACAGGCAGCCGCCACCACTGCTGACTAGCTAGCGGAAAGTCATACCACCACCATGTGTCCATCATAGAACGGACGCCCTTTCCCAAGATCCCAGCTACCCCACCTCATGCACAACTACGACAGGCCTGACACCTGTAGGCCAGTCTAAACCGTACGTCACAAGTCCTTAAAGGAGAGAGGGGTCTCACTCCTGACCCATCAGCAGGCCTTCCCTACCGGCTTACTGCACTCCCAGAAACCCTCTCCTCAGTCTCAAACACAGCAAAATTACCTACAAATGAATCTATGGCAAACCCAAAGGAAGCTGCAGGCTGCAGAGGCTCCAGGGCTGGGAGCTATGCTTACCACAAACAGTCAGCATGGGAAGCCAGGGTCTGGCGCCTACTGTGCTCAGTGCTCACAGAGTATTTATGGTAAAAGCGTTATTGAATTCACCGGACATAAGCACACCCACGGGTTCACAGACACATACCCCCATACATGCTCACACAGACACACAGTCAGCCCACACACACCAGTAACCTACTTATCAGACAAAGACTCGGAGGATGGACGGGGACGGATGGGAGGCCCTCCTACCTTGACCTGAGACAGCTCTTTCTGAGGTGCTGTGAGCTTCTTGCTGACCCTGCCTTTGGCCTTCAGCTCCTCCACAGTCTTGTAAGAGTACTTTGGCTTCTTCTTGCTCCCGCTGGGGTCTTTCCTCCACTGGCTCAGCTCCTTCTGAAATTCCTGAGGCAGAGGGATGCAGTCAACGACAACAGGAGAGGCCAAGGCCTTCAGCATGCGGCAGCCACCAAGTACTGCTCGCCCAACATCCGTGCCTAATACAGCTGGATGCCAAAGGTAGGGGCCTGGGCGAACGGAGGCTCTGCTGGTCCTCCGCTGACTCTCACACTGAGGATCGGAAAACACTGGCCCCACAGGCAGAGCTCCACAAGAATGGTGAGCAGGGGGTAGCATGAGGACGCGACCGCCCTACAGGTCAGGCCTGTGGCCGCCATTCTATTCTCAGGCTGGCCTAACCTGTCATTCCTTTTCTGTTCAGGAATCATGGCACCTGCTGTCCCAGGCCATCACTGAGCTGACAGAGCCGACCCTGCAGTCAGAGTGCATGCACCCGAGTGCCTCCGTCCCCTCCCTGTCACTACCCTGCAGTCAGAGTGCATGCACCCGAGTGCCTCTGTCCCCTCCCTGTCACTGTCTCACAGCTGCCCACGCACACACCTAAGCCCAAGACACCATGATTGCATCAGGTGAGGAAGGAGTCCCAGCAGGGCCTGCCACATACGAGTGAAGACACGCAGAGGCCATCAACATGTGCAGCCCACTCGTAGCACCTGTGTGAAATGGTCCAGGCCACGCGCCACCCACCCACACCCCCTCATTACCTCTTCTGCCTCCTCTTCTGAGTCGACCACGGGGAAGTCCTGCAGAGACTGAGTGGTCCTCTCTGAGCCGTAGGCCCCCACAGCTCCCTTGCCTTTTCTCTGTTTGGCTTCAATGGGGTTGATGATACCTGAACAAGGGCAGGAGAAAGACAAGACTTTTCAGATCGTGGCCGCCTATGTGGACACCAGGGAGGGAGAGCTTCCTGCTGCTCACCAACAGCACGCCAACCTGAGACTCAACAACTGAGACCACTTCTGAGGATTCAGCCCTACTGTACTGACCAACACAGGCATCAGAAGGTTGTGTGCATAGTCACTCAGGATGCTGACTGTGTGGACAGCTCTGGGCTGCTGAGGGGCTCACACTGCCCACAGCTAACCTGTGTAATATGGCTAAGCCCTGGAAATAAACAGGAAGAGCAGTTTCACGAAGTGCCAGGCTCTTCCCAGCACAACCTGAGACGAGTGTGGGTGGTCTTGGGGTGTGAATTACAGAGGACACTTCTGATTGGACCCAGTTCATGCTAAAAAAGGCTAAGTGCTTGCTCCTTGTGCCTCTGAGCCAAGGTGGTAAGCTGTGTGTGCAAGGGCTGTTTCTCAATGGGGCTAGTAGGGGGACAACGTAGGTTCTGGTCAGCCAGCAGCACAGGCGTGTCTTCAGTCGGCAAAGGCTGCAGTGCTGTGCTGTGCACTGGATGGCCTGATGCTGAATTACAGACTAAGAAGATAATTCGCAGAAGCTGGGACTACAAAGCTGGCCTAGCATCCCAGGCAGGCTCACACAATGATCACAGCAGGGCAGGTGGCAGGCCCAGGAGGCTGAGGACACGGTGTTTACAAGAGCACACTCTGCCGCAAAGACAGCTGTGAAGAGGCCAAACTACTGCCAGGCAAAATCTAGAGTTCTAGTGAGACTGTCAGATTTTAAAATATTAGCAGTTACTTCTTTAGAGACACGGGCCAGGTTAAAACAGCTATGTGTTTGCAGCCACTTTAGACCCTAGCACTTTACTTGTGACTTAACCAAGTACTTTACTGAAACTGGGTTCTGAGAAAGCCAAGCAGCTGGGGAGCGGAGAGCACGAGTGGCCCACGCTGCCAAGCCCAGCTGCAGAGTCAACAGCTTCTCTTGTCTGGTTTGGAGCTTCAGCGTCCTTCCCACAATCTGTGCACCTACCTAGGACATCACCCATGCTCGACAAGCTTCCTACAGGGAAGAGGCAGGTAAGGCGAGCCTCCCTCCCTGTGCCTCTCCTCCTCCACACTCACCCTGGGCGTTCTTCCCCAGGCCCCGCCCAGGGACGTAGCCCATCTTCTGCAGCAGCTTCTGCCCGATCCCTTTGGTGTGTCTCTCCCAGCTGCCAAAGTCCATGAAGGACTTGGTTCCTCCTGCGAAGCCTTTCTGGCTGGGCTTAAAATTGCCACCCTGCAAAGAAGGCAAAAGGAGTTTGAGTGAGAGAGAAAAACAGATCCAAGGGAGCTCAAGCCTACAGCCACACTGCATTATGAAAAGCAGCATTTGGACCAAAAACCACACCAGTGACACGGAGGAGGAAACAAACCGCAGGGCCCAAGGGGCAGCACACACACGGGTGCTCACAGGGCTGCTCCCTGTGAGGAAGCCACTGCACTGGTGACCTCCAAGGGGTGCCACACGGAGACTATCCTGCGGGACCCACCGTTTTTAACTTCTTTGGTCCTAAATCCTTCGGAAAGTCTTCCTGCTTAACCGGCTTCTCTTCAGCATCAGAGTCCTCCGAGTCCGCTTCCTCGGCTGCTCCTTTCTTGAGCCCCGCACTGATGAAGTTGACGGGTGCAGAATAGTCTCGGGCCCTACAGACAGACACAGAGCCTCCAAGTCTGTAAAGAACACTTCTGCAGCACGCTATCCTAGAAGCTGCTCACAAGAGAATTCCTTAGACACGGAGGCCCTCATGGGATCCACTCTAAAGCAGTAATACGTTGATTTATGTCCAAATGCTAAAAGAGACTCAAACCTGGCCTCCAGTCAGCTTACATTTAACATTTAAGAATGTCGTAACTGTTTGTGGTTGAGCACATGACACTGAGTGCCCAGTGAGCCAAAGCCTCGGTTCCGTGACGACGGAACTGCAGGCACTTGTGAGCTGCCTGACTGGGCACTGGCCAGCAGCCTCGCTCAGGCCTACAAGAGCAATGTTCAATCTTATTGCTGCTGAGTCCTCTTCCAGCTTACACTTAACACTCATGGCGTCTGCTCAGTTCAAACCTCTAGCTGAGACTTGCCACCGTCAGTGGAGTTGATCATAAATTCAAATTAGGATGTAATCGTCTTACTTCCCTTTGACACTTTCAAAAATGCCATTGTCACAGTGTGTGGACAGTTTGTGAAGTGGCTCATCTCTCTCACCTTTCATGTAGGGATCTGGTGACTGGACTCAGCTAGCTAGGCATACCTCTGAGCCCTCAAACTGGGCCCCCTTTTAGCTTAGTGTGTGTATTAGAATGGTACAACACTCTTCCAGCATGCCTGTAAAACACACACACACACACACACACACACACACACACACACAATTTGTTTTAGATACTATTTCAAGTATAAAACTCAGAACGACTCAGATGGATAAAAATTCTGAGTATAGTCAGGTGGGAGGCACATGCTTTTTTTCTTGTCTTGTGAGACAGCATCTTACTATGTAGCCCAGGCTGTACCACACTCCCCTGTGGGCTTACTCACTTGTCTACCTTCATTTGGGCCAATAGCGTCTTCTCCAGAGCACCCTGGCCTGACCTCCCTCTTCTCTAGTGCAATGTGAGTGCTCCCTGTGAGTGCTCCCTGACACAGCATGGGCCCACGGCTGCCAGGCCTGGGGCGGGTCAGCACTTCTCTAGCCATACACAGCCCTGATCCCATCACACAGTGACTGCTGAGGAGGACGGCCACCCGGCTCAACCGCACAGAGCAAGATGCTGTCGCATCTGGACTTGATAAGGTAGAAAACTCTTCTGGGGTGCCTTCCGCATCCTCCAGAGGCAGGGCATGCAGCCCAGTACACGGTACCTTTTGCCTCCAAAGCTTGGCCTCTCCTCATCCGAGTCACGCTCGGCCCACACCCCGTAGGTGGCCTCCTCCTTGGTCTGCCAATGGCGCTGCCGGTTGGGGTTGAACTCGTTCTGGAGATCCCAGTCGGTGATCTCAAAGTTCTCACGCTCGTCCTCGTCGTCATCGAGGTGGCCTTCCCCATCCCGGTACAAGTGGGACAGAGACATGGCCAGTCACTGGAGGACAGGGGACAAGAACGGTACTGTAAGAACCCGGGCCGGGCAAAAGATCTCAGTAAAGCAGCCATTAAACACAGGACAAAACGACAAGCTCTGCATCCAGTGAGGTAAGTCAGACCCACCATCCACGTGGGTCTAACACACACTGCCTTGTCAGAGTCATACACCATGCAAGTGTGAGGCAGGGCCACAGAAAGGAAGCCAGCAGCTCTACGTGTTATTACCTCAGAAACTGGGTTGGAACCCGGTCTTTCTGTCTCTCCAGGAAAGTTGTATCTAGCCGATTTGCAGTTCCAGGGAAATTTCAGAACATTTTTTTTTTTTGAAATATCGTTTCAGGAGACTGAAGGTTCCCTTCCCAAATCTGAACGGCTTCTTAGGTACTGGAAGGTTGCAGTCTTTATGAACGCCACTTTTCAGTCACACCTGGAGGGCGTAGAATAAACAAACTGTTCTACCCAGGTATCTACTCAGCTCTCTCTCTCTCATAACTGCATTCATTCAATTCCAGAAGTAGCTTGTAAGGACTGATTAAGATGACACTTTAGAAAAACAAAGCCTCCCAGTGCGTTGAAGGCAGAGAGAGAGAGGTCCATCTCTGTATGTTCAAAGCCAGCCTGATCTCAAAATAGAAAACAACAACAACAAAAGCTGAACTCCCAGTAGGTGCTCAAGAAACAGCACCCTCACAGTAGGTTCTAGCAGTAGGGAGGCAGAGACAGGTAGATCTGAGTTCAAAGCCAGACTGGTCTACAAAGCAAGTTCCAGGACTGCCAACACAGAGAAATTCTGTCTCGAAAACAACAGAAGCCGGGCAGTGGTGGCGCACGCCTTTAATCCCAGCACTTGGGAGGCAGAGGCAGGCGGATTTCTGAGTTCGAGGCCAACCTGGTCTACAGAGTGAGTACCACACAGAGAAACCCTGTCTCAAATACAAAAAAAAAAAAAAGAAAAGAAAAGAAAAGAAAGAAAGAAAACAACAGAAAACATAGGGTCAAAGAGCCGGAAAAAAAAAAAAGCATCTTCTACTTCATCCCATGATCGGGTTCCAGGTTCACCGTCATTACCGGTCAGGATTGAGAAGTGAACCCTTAGGAATGAAGTGTGAAAATCAGGAACACTTAACACCACAGCCGGAGTTTAAATCATGCCTCTACGAACACCTCTGTGTGTGGGTATCACATACAAAGGTCCGGACACGGTGCACTGCACAGACACGTCCTCACTATGTGACACCATCGTGTTCAGGTGCACCAGTGACTGACAGCGGGATCTCCCTCCTCCTTCCCCTCAACAGGTTCCAACCTCAGCTACGAGTGCACGTTGAGGGCAAAGTTCTCAAAGGAGCAGAAAGCTCTGGGCCCACGGGAATACAATACCGACACCTACCCACAACAGGGGATAATAAAAATCCCACAGTGGTTAGGAGACGCTCAGCTCACAAGCGCTCGGGGATGGTTATTCAGTGTCAGCGTCGGGACCCTCCCACGTCCCGTCCCGCAGCGGGCCGGGCTGGAGACCCGGGCTCAGGGACACCGTGAGGCCGCCGCCACGGAGCCTCAGCCCACGCTATCGGGACGCCACCCCGCCGCCCGCTCACCTCGCTCAGCACCCGCGAACCACACAGTCCTCGTCCAGGGTCCCAGAGACTGCGAGGGATCCGCTAGCCCAAACCCGGATGTGGATTGCCGGCGCACAGGAAGTGCGTCACTCGGGGCCGGAAATGGCGCGCTGTTGTCCTGACAGCGACTTAACGCCAGAGAGGGGGCGTGTCTGCGTCCCGGAAAAGCTGGTGATCCGGTCTCGCACTGCTTCCGGCTCCCATCGGAACTGAGGGCGTGTGGCGGTCTGGTTCCAGGGTCGTCAGGCACTGGAGTCTTAGTTTGTCAAAGGCGGAGAAGGCGTTACCCCAAGAAAGCCACCCCCGGATAGAACCGCCGCGCCCAGGCCGACCCTGAGTGATTAAAATGTCCTCAGGACCCCATGTCGCGAGAAGGAAGGGCTAAGAGCCTAACCCCAGAGGAAGAGTTTGGCTGAGGGAGGTCCTCGCGGAGTTATCGGCGTGCATACTTCCTGCCTTTTGCTTTATCTTTTCTGTAACTCTGTAAACAGGAAAGGCGGAGGAAACTCTAGGCAGCTGTGGACAGTCTGTAATAAATCCGTTTTTCTTTGATCTGTTAGGGTAAGCCAGCGCGGGCCTGGAACAGTTTAAGGAATGAATGATGGGAGAAGTGCCTGGGCGTTCTCTACAGGAACTAGTTTTATTATTTTCCTCTCTCCTCTGGTTATTTCTCTGTTGCCGGGAAAGAAGGGAGTTGGATTTCTTTTTGGTGGTTTGGTTTGGTTTTGGTTTTGGTTTTTCAAGTCAGGGTTTCCTCTGTGTCCCTGGCTGTCCTGGAACTCACTCTGTAGACCAGGCTGGCCTTGAACTCGGAGATCTGCCTGCCTCACCCTCCCGAGTTCTGGGATTAACGGCGTGCGCCACCTCTGGCTCACAAGAAGGGGCATCTTTCATCTTACATTTTACACATCTTACAAATCTACACATAGTCTGATCTCTGGTTCTGAAACACGTTAGTTTTCTCTAGTACACTAAAAGGCCTGGTGGGTTTTGTTGTTGGCTGGATTTATTTTTGTTTTCCACTGTCAGCTTGACACACACTAGAGTTATCTAGGAAAAGGACCCTTCAAGGCTTGCATCCGATGGCCTGTAGGCAAGACTGTGGGGTCTTTGCTTGATTGATGATTGATGTGGGATGGCCCATCCCATTATGGGTGGGGTCACCCCTGCTCAAGGGCTGTAAGAGCAAGGGAAGCAAGCCAATTAGCAGCGTTCCTCCGTGGCTTCTGCTTCGGAGTTCTTTTTAAAAATGTCTACCTTGGACTGTAATCTGTAAAGCAAATAAATCGTTTCCTTCTCAAATTGCTCTTGGGTATGGTCTTTACAATAAAGCAATAAAACCTATTTTGGAAGATCTGTTAGTGAGGCTCTTGGGGAGTCTGTCAGAGCCAACGTGATACTCTTAGGATCAGGGTCCCTTCTTGGGGCTTATGGTCACATGAATAAAAGCATCTAAGAACTGATCCAAACAAGAGCTGGGGGGGGGGGGGGGCGGAGACGGGCAAGCTGTAACTCACAGCTGCCCAGAGGAGAGGGGAGAGCCAGTGTGGAGGTCGGCCCCAAGCAGGGAGGGGGCCTTCAGAGAATGAGCAAGGAATCCCAAGACAGGGAAGTTAAAAGCATACTTGTGTTGGGAAAGAATATCCCTGCATGAGAACAAAGTGAAAGTAAACCAGCAGGGCAGTGACCCCGAGCTGGCAGGCAAGCACACCCAAGCTACAAGGGTACTTAAGTTCCATTCTGACGAAGGTGCTGTCTGTGACTCACCCCATTGGTAGGAGCTCAATGTCAATCTGATGTGATTGGCACATCGAAATCCCCACAAAGAGGAAGCTTATGAGCAAGTCTCAAAAATGTCTGGTATTTGTGGCTTGACATGTACTACAAGGAGTGTCACAAGATGCAAGGGCGGGGGGCAGGGGAACGCTATGGAATACCGGACTTTAGGCAAGCTAGCCATCTTTGATAAAAAATATTCTTCTCACACTGTGGCTGTGACCAGAATCCAAATGGAAAAGACAGGAAAGGAAAAGAAATCTGGTGACACACTAATTCCAGCACTGGGGGAGGTAGAGATGGTTGGATCTCAGTGACACCTGGCGTAGATTTCCAGGACATCCAGGGCTAAATAATGAGACCTTATTTCAGAAAGAGAGGGAGAGAGAGAAGAAAAGAGAAACAAAAAGGAATATGAATCAGAAAGACCCAGCAGAACCTCGGTGGATGTTGTTCTGGAAATGTACATTAGTTTAAGATGAGCTCCTTTAAACAGATCCTTGATTCGTCCCCACTGGATTAACCCTTAAGGGAGGAGACAAAACCAAGGCCCCCACTTCAAGCAGTGGTTCTCAGCCCAGGTCATGACCCCTTTGGCAAGCCTCTATCTCCAAAAATATTTACATTACCATTCGTAGCAGTAGCAAAATTACAGTTAGGAAATAGTAATAAAAACAATTTTATGGTTTTATGCCCAAGAGGCAGATTCTGTTCTTTAATGAGGGAAATCTGGTCAGGAACTCAAGGCAGGAGCCGGGGAGGAATGCTGCTTGCTGAGCGCTCTGGCTCAAGTTGATCCAGCCCAGAACCATTTGCCAAGGTGCCGCTCACAGTTGGCGGGGTCCTCCTGCATCCAGTAATGCTAGGGTCAAACAAATGAATCTTATCCTAAGTTTACCACCATTTTGTTTTCAGACTCTATTTTGATCAGAAGGTGAAATGAAGTTCAGGTTCCCAGGCTCTAGGGGAGCTCTCCATTTGGCTAGCCAATTTCCTCATTTTTTTTTCCCATAACAGGAAGCATAATGGTTGCGCTTAACCATGAGAGAACAAATGCTTCTGACTGTAACTTGGCACAGATGTTTGTGGATTTTGGGCTTCAAAGCTCTGTGAACAGTCTGGCGTGGGGTCGCAGCTCAGCTCCTGAGTCTGTTCTGTGGCCCTGATCGATCAGAAGCAGCCTGAGTACAATATTTACTTAGATGGAAGTTTGAAAATGCAGCCAGCTCCAGAGTCTGTGCTGTTGTCCCTGACTGGTCCGTTTTTGCTCCCGAATTAAAATGAAGATCTTGCTTTGCTGGACTCTTGTGAATACTTAGGTTGTTTTGGATTTTCAGACCCCAACAGTAATTATCAAGACCATTCCGAATAGATATGTCCACAGGCCAGTCTGATCTGGATAAGTCATCAAAACTTTCCTATCAGATGACTGTATCAAGTTAACAACTAAAGCCAACTAGGACATTTAGAACTGGCTGGTAAATTCATTCATTCATTCATTCATTCACTCACTAGTCCTTTTAAAATATACTGAGTTCTTAGCTGGACCTAAACAGTATACTAAACAACATGGCTGAAGGGTTTGCATGGAGCATTAAGAGGGACACCAAAACAGATCGCTGGTAAGAGACGAGTTCATTATAAAAGCTATTAACACCACAGACAGACAGACAGACAGACAGACAGAGAGTAGCATGGTAGATGCTCTGAAGGAGAGTTCAGGGTTCCAGCACCAGAGGTAGACATATGACAGGAGCTTCCTGTAGAGGACTCAGAAACCACATGGAAGAAATAGTGGTCTGTCTTTATACTTTTCTGAGGATGGGGAAATCTCACAGACATAAAAGCCTGGCTGTCCCCAATTCCCAAGGCTAGTGTATTAGAGTATAGCATATATATTATAGATATGGAATTTATTGAAATCACTTACAGGCTGCAGTCAGACTAACCCAACAACGTTGGCCAGCTGTGAATGGAAAGAATCCAGTAGCTGCTTAGTACCACAGGCTGGGTGTCTCAGCTGCTCTGCTGTACAAACCAGAATCCTGAGGAAGTAGAGCTTCAAAGGATGTGGCCACAAAGCAAGTGCAAGCAGACAAAGAAGAATTGTCCCTATATAGGCCTCCAGCAGAAGGTGTGGCCCAGATCGAAGGTGTGTATTGATCCAGATTAAGAGTGTGTCATTGCTGGGCGGTGGTGGCACACGCCTTTAATCCCATCACTTGGGAGGCAGAGGCAGGTGGATTTCTGAGGTCGAGGCCAGCCTGGTCTACAGAGTGAGTTCCAGGACAGCCAGGGCTATACAGAGAAAAAATGCCTTCCAAAACAAAACAAAAAAAAAAAAAAAAAGAGTGTGTCATCCCACCTCAAGATCTGGATCAAAAGCGAGTGTCTTCCAGCCTCAAGATCCAGATTGAAGGCATGTTGTCTTCCTGCCTCAAGATGAGCATCACAGGTGAACCCCCCATTCCTGGATTGTAGTTCATTTTAGATAGTTGACAACCAAGAAAAACCATCACAGCTAGTTTCCTCCCTCTCTCCCTCTCTCCCTCTCTCCCTCTCTCCCTCTCTCCCTCCCGTCCTCCCTCCTCCTTCCCTCCCTTCCTTCCTTTCTTTCTTCCTTCCTTCTTGCATGGATGTAAGACCCTGAAACTTAAGTTAACGACTTCACTTGACATGGAAAGCCCCCCCCCCCCACCCTCAAAGGTTGTTGGTATATCCTTTTTCATCAAGATTTCTCAGTTCAAGGCCGGATGGTGGTGTCACACACATTTAATCCCAGCACTTGGCAGGTGAGGGTGGCAAGTGATCTCTGAGTTCAAGGCCAGCCTGGTCTACAGAGCAAGTTCCAGGACAACCAGGGCCTGTTGCCTAAAACCCTGTCTCGAACCAACCCCCACCCCAAAACTTCTCGGTTCAAATGCTAGCCTTGGGATCTTGGGGACATCCAGGCCCGTGTCTAGATTCCCAGAGAGATACTCACACTTTTAGCTGTCTCAGATGGGAGCTATAAACAGCAAAGCTCATCAAGAGTATGGCAGGGCCCTTGGACACTCATGGTTCATCCCCCCACCCCCACCCACGAAGGCCCTGGAAGAGGGCAAATGCCTACAACTTGCAGCAAGTTGAAGAACAGAACCAGGCCTGACCCCCAGGAATGCAGAAGATCAGTTTCAGTATCCACTTTCTTCTCTAAGATAACAGAGAGCATCTCCATTGCCACTTCACTACCCATGCCCCCTGACCACATCCCGTGCCCCTGACCACTCCCTGTGCCCCTAACCACTCCCCGTGCCCCTGACCACTCCCCTTGTAGTTTCTCCATCCGCTCAAAAGATCACGTGGAGTGTGCGGAGCCTGGCTCAGTTACAACTTTAAATAGGCTGGTACCATAGAAACAATCCTTAGGTGGCAATTTTAAAGTTGATATATTTAAAGTCTAGCACATGTACTTTTTCTTAGGACTGTGACATTATGCCGTGGCGCGTGTCCCGTTCTTATTCTGAAGTCTGTTACAAAAATAGACACGATGTACTGAACTTGGCAGGATTGGAAACCCAGATGGGCTGAGATCAGCAAACCTGGTTTCCCTTAAAATGCTCTGCGCATGGTTTTGGCTTTAGCCTCCCAGGAGGCCCTGCGCCACGGAGAGCTCTGCAAAGCCCGGACTCTCAGAGGCACACACGGGTGTGTGGGAGGGGCAGAAGACAGGGCTCAGCAGTTAGAAGCACCTGTTTCTCTTGCAGAGGACTGGGTTCGGTTCCCAGCACTCACACAGTGGCTCACAACTGTCTGTAGTTCCAGTTCCAGAGGCAGCTCCGACGCCCTCTTCTGCCTCCCTGAGCACCAGGCACGCGTGCGGTCCGCAGACGTGTATGTGGGCAAAACAGCCATGTATATAAAAATAAAAATATTTACGAGAAAATCTTAAAGCACGCAGGTGTGCTGGGGAAGTAGCTTAATGGGTAGAGATTGCCTCAAAGCCTGAGGACCTAAGCCAGGTGTGGTGGCTCACACCTTTAGTCCCTGCTATTGGGAGACAGAGGCAGGCAGGTCTCTGAGTTAGAAGATAGAAGCCAGCCTGGTCTACAGAGTGAGCTGAAGGTAGGCACGGTTAATTCCAGACCCGGGTAGGCAGAGAAAGCTGAATCCCTGAGGCTTGCTCATCAGCCGGCCTAGCCTCCTTTGCGGGTTCCAGACCAGTGAGAGAACCTAGATCAACAACCTAGTTGGTGATGCCAAAGAAACAACCTGTGGTCTCTGCCTACACGAGCATGTCTGAGGGGATGTCTCATGTCTGCGTGTTCCTCTATAAGTGACTCGCCCTTCGCCCCTCTGTGTGTTCTTCCATCTCTTCATGGAGGGAGGACTCCAGACAAACTGAAGCAGAAGACTGCATCCTCATTTTGAAAAATTACCAGTCACTTTTGAAACATCTGTTCAGGGAAGCCTGGACAGTATGGGCAGCCTGATTACCTTAGATCGCCGCGTGGTGAGGAAGCTCGTCTGTGAGTGTAGAGAACACCTACTGGATATTCAGGAAGCCTCCGGGAACTCTGGCTAGGGATGAAGAAGCCTCTGGAAGATAGGACTGTCAGTATCTGCCTGGAGTGTCACGGAGCTTCTCAAAACCGAAGGTGCCATAATGGTAGCTCAAACTCTCTGCGTGAAGCCCAGCGGGAGGTACAAGAAAGGTGAGTGCTTTCTGCTGCTCAGCCATGAACCTCCTGTGCACCTTACAGTGTCCATTTTTGGAGGCAGGGACTCCTCTTTAGATATAGGAAGGGGGTTTTGTTGTTGTCTGGTGGCTGGCTTAGAGCTTGCTATGTACACAAGGTTGGCATCAATTCACAGAGATCCCCTGCCTCTGCCTCCTGTGTGCTAGGATCAAAGATGTGAGCCACTGCTCCCAGGCGGGAGACGGTGTGATATTTGTACATGCTCAGCCCAAGAAGTGGTACTATTAGGAGGTGTGGCCTTGTTGGAGTGGGTGTGGCCTTGTTGGAGTGGGTGTGGCCTTGTTGGAGGAGGCGTGGCCCTGTTGGAAGAGGTGTGGCCTTGTTAGAGGAGGTGTGTCACTGTGGGTGTGGGCTTTAAGATCGTCATCCTAGTTACCTGGAACCCAGTCTCCTGCTAGCAGCTTTCAGATCAAAGATCTAAAACTCAACTCCTCCTGCAGCACGCCTGCCTGGATGTTGCCTCCTTGATGATAACGGACTGAACCTCCGAACCTGTAAGCCAGCCCCAATTAAATGTTGTCCTTTGTAGGACTTGCCACGGTCATGGTGTCTGTTCACAGCAGTAAAACCCTAACTAAGACAGAGGGGTTTGTATTTTAATTATGTATTGTGTCTTATATGGTGTGTGTGTGATACATGCACAGATGTGTGGGTGCGAATGACCACATGCATGCATGTGCTTCCTATTATTGCCTTGAGGTAAGCTCTCACTGAACCTGAAGTTCGCACTGTCAGTGGGACTGGCTGGCCACCAAGTTCTCAAGATCCACATGTGACTGTCACCAGCAGCACCACCACCCCAGGGATAGGACTATAGGCACATGCGCCCACACCCAGATTTATGAGGACTAGGAATTCAAACTCAGGTCCTTGAGCTTACAGGGCAGGCCTCTTACCGTATTAGTCGGGGTTCTCCAGAGGAGTGGAGGCAACAGGATGAATAGATACAGCAAAAGAACTTATTAAGTCAGCTTATGCTAAAATAATAACAACCTCCGTCTCACATCTGAGACCCAACAACCCAGCAGTTGTAAAGTCCCCGAGGCTGGTACCTCTGCAATCTCATCTGCTTCAAACACACTGGAAGGCTCCTGGAGAGCTGCTGGTCAGTCCACAATGGAAGCCCAGACTCTGGTTCTGATGTCAATCAACAAGGAGGTGAGGGGGAGGCCGTGAGAACAAAAGGCAGATGATTTTCTTTTCCATATCTCTCTTTATCGAAACAGCTACCAGAAGGCGGGGGTGGGGGTGGGGGTGAGGGGGTAGGTGGTGGAGGCTCAATACTCTAGTTTGTGGCAAGTTAAAATTAACCAATGCATCTCTTTGGTCATCTCTGAAGCCCAGAAAGGCTTGACCTGATGCACACTAGGTAAGAACTCTATCACTGAGCACTATTTCAGCTCAAGATATATATATAAAGATATATATATATTATATATATAATTTAATATTTTTAATTTGGGATTGGAGTCCCACTATGTAGTCCAGGCTGTTGTGTATGACAGACATGAGTTTGGAACCTCTGCACTCACGTGAAGACATATGCAGTAGTGTGTATCCCACACATGCCTGAGTCCACAAACACATACACAGAATTAAATATTAAAAAAAAAGATTTAAAAAATGTCAAGACAGGGTCTCACACTGTCTAGCCTGGCTTCCAGCTCACTATGGTGCACCATGCCTGACTCCACTGACCAGAAGCAGGCCAAGCGGTCAACAGTTTTCTCAAGTATCATTAGTCACACTTGGCTGATCCTGTGAATGTCCAGAGGAGGCTACAGGGGGCAGGCTCCAAGGATGTGTGTGCAAATATACACGGAGGTCAGGAATGCCTGGTGCCAGCAGGGCAGGGGTCACGTGGAAAGAAGCACACCCGGCAAACTGAGAATATCGCTGAACGAACAGAAAAATCTCAGAAGCCACAGGCAAAGGTGCTCGCTACCCGAGTTCAGTCCCTGGACCTACACGTGGTAAAACAGAATGGACTCTCACAAGTTGTCTTCCGACCTCTACGCATATTTTGTAGTGTATGTGCATCAACACACCTCAGAGGCCTGGCTGTCTCTCACTAGTTGGAAGAGTCAGACGCTGCCTGCACAGGAGCATTGGTTCTGCCACCCTTGGTCGTTCTTAGTAATCACCCGGGAGATCAAATGTAGTCCTCTGGATATCTGCAGGGGCTTTTTCAGACACGGGTGGGCGAGCTAAAAGAAATGTGGGCAGCAGCATCCCACAGCTAGGGGTCAGACTCAAGACAGGAAAGGGACGACTAGCTGGGCCCTGGGACCTCCTTCTCAGTCAGCTTCACCGCCCACTGTGACCTGAAGTCTGTCACGTGCGTCCTGTCATGATGGAAACTATGGGCTAACGTAAATCTCTGTTGCTTATGTCAGGTATCGGAGCAACACAAAAGTCAGCCTGCCTCCAAAATTCATACCCCCAGGATGCTGCAAGCCATGGCCTCCCTAAACCTCTCAGTGGCTCCCAAGAAGTCAGGCAAGGCGTGGGTGCTTCTCAGCTCTTATGAAGTTGTTCTTAGTCCAGCTGGTTACAGAGCATCTAAGGACCACTCAGCAGGCCCACGGCTAAAAGAAAATGGGTCTTTGGCGGCTCTAGAGAGATCGCTTCCAAGGCACTGGTACATTGTCCCTGAGAGTAGTGTCTATGATGTCTGCAAAAACATATAAGGAACCTCAGGCCACACCCCCTAGAGGGCGGAGGGCGGCCAGGCCACACCTCTAGAGGGTGGAACCAGCCTCAGGCTACACCCCCTAGGGGTGGAGCTCTTTCCATGCTTCAGAGAGGCTGGTAGATATGATCTATCATGTCTGCCTGCTTCGTCTCAGATGAAACCCGGGTGTCAGACCGCCAGGACCTGTTGTCATTCATCCTTGTGGAGAGAATTACCTACATGCTCACAAAACTTATCTCTACGCTGGTCCTTCTGGACTCTGCCCGCGAGCCCTGCCTTTTCCTTTACTGTGGGGGGTGACGGGAGCCCAGCGGTGCCCGCGACAGCATCAGCATGTTCTCCAGCGTCACCGCTTTCCACTTGTGAGGGAAGAGAAGAAACCTATTCACTCGTGTGAAGTAAGGCACAGACAGCAGCCTGTCTACTTTATTCAAATAATTAATTTCTTTTCTCTGTGAAACTGAGTAGGACTAGAGCAAGGAGAGCCCATATATTAAACTCTTAAATAGATCCTTTGAGTTTAGCGTCCAGTCAAGGAGAGGCACGGGTCACAGGTCTTGTCCCCAGGAGATGAGGTCACCAAGGAGCCTGTCCATTAGGGAAGATAGCAAATTCAATTCTTTTAAAAAAAAAGTTCCCGAGGAGAAAAAAATAGAAAATCCCCAAGTTTCTGAAGCCGAAGTAGTCTCTCCCTTGGTGTTGCCCTGGAGCAGAGGTTCCAAGCCCGCTTAGGCAGGGATGTATGAACGCTCCATCCCGGCAGGCCCCGGCATGACTGAGAGCAAGCCATGTGCTTGAGTTAGTCCAGCTTCCATGTGCAGGTCGAGGACTCACACGTCTGAGCCCTGCAGAGACTGAGAAGGGGAGGTGGTGTCAGTGGGGGTGATGCTGAAACAGAACGTTTCTGCTTGTTTATTTTACTTTCATTTTTGAGACAGGGTCTCACTGCGTAACACTGGCTATACTAGAACTCCATATATAGATCAGGCTGGCCTAGAACTCACAGAGATCCAGCCCACTCTGCCTCCTGAGTGATGGGATTAAAGGTGTGTATGGCCACATGGGACCTAGTTTATTTTTCGTGTATCTGTGCACATGTGGGTGCAGTTTCCCACAGAGGCCAAAAGAAGATACGGGTCTCTGTTCCTAGGGATGCGTGGTACTCCAGATGGCTGAGGAGAATCAGTATTAAAACTGGCTTTTGGGTTCTCACCTACATTTTAACCTGGTCTCAAAGATCCTCTTCTCTGGGAGCTGTTGAGGCTACAGAGTGAGTTCAAGGTCACACTGGGCAGCTCAGTGAGGTCCCATCTTCCCATCACAAAGTAAAAGAGGGCAGGAATACAGTTTCTCGGTAGATCTCCTGCCTGCCTGAGAGTCACTGCATGAAGTCTTGGCATCAACAGCCCCAACCCTCCAGAAAGCGATGTGTTCAATACAATGAGTTTCAGAGAAAAGAGGCATTGATACACCCGTTACAGGCCAATCCACACGGGGCTGGCTGGTGAACCCTGTATGTGGCATCTCATTTAAATGGCTAATCAGGTTAGCACTGGCTGTAGGCTTGTCTGGGATCCTAACAGACCCCAGGAGGAGAGGGAAGCAGCAGAGGGCGGGGTTCTCTTCTCTGGAATGAAGCCATCAGCACAGCCACTGAGGAAGTCCTGACAGTCAGAGACTGAACATCCCAGCTCAAAACCCTGTTCCCTACCTTGCATCGAAATAGGCACTAGGCACTTAAAGTCACTCTGACAGAGCCAGCCTCCCGCTGTGTGACACAGAAGGCCATGGGGGCTCTCTGTAGGGGTGGAGCTACATGTCTCTTTTTTCCTATGTGCACAGTGGCATTTGGCCCAATACCTCATGTACTGTTAGAGGAGCCCAATGATAGCTACTGAGGACACTGGCTGCCCTGAGCCACGGCTGGGGCTGTTTATCTGGGTGGGTATGACTGACAGGCTGTACTAGGTATCCGTGTAGCTCAGGGTCTCTATCTCCATGGTCCTTCCAGCTCTCTCCCAGCATGAGAAGCCTCCGTTTGCTTTGGTCTAGCATTGACCCCTACTAACACCCTCCCCCACCCTCAATCCAGAGTTCAGAGTAAGCCTCCACTCTGTAAATAGCTCCCTAGCCGGTCACCATGGAAACAAGATGGGGATGGGTCTGTCCACCTTGGTGGACATATCCCAGAGAAGGTTTGAAGGACAGGCTCTTCAGCCAGAGCTGGCCACCTCAGTGGTGAGGCAGAAAAGCTCACCTGGAAATCACGAACTTCCTAGGTGTGGGGCGGTGCTGTTCTGGTTCACCTGCAGGAAGACAGAAGACTTCAAGCCCAAGGTGTGTGTGAGGGGGGTTGCTTTTTCCTTCTAGGACACAGGCGACTGCAGCTGTGTCCCTAGGGTCTCCTAGGTGACAGGGCCATAGTTTGCTTGTATCCATCTGTCCCACACCCCCAGGCCTTTACCCCTAGTGGCAGCCCCATCCTTAGAGCTGTAATCTAAGAGAAGACGTGTGGTATTTGTTTTTTGCTTTTGTTATTTTTGGTCCCCACATAGGACATTCAGAACTCATGGAAAGGAGGCATCTGAGCCAGTTAGGCTAGGTACATCAGTAAACACGATGTGGTCATCCAAAAGGGTCAGCACCTCACCCGCCGGACAGGGAAATCCCAGGACGGCAGTGTGTGCCATGGAAGTACAGTCAGCTCAACAATGTATATAGCAGTAACAGCAAAAAACTGCTGTCCCTGAACTCAGAGACGGATAACCTGATCATTAAAATGGCGACTTCCATGGGCTGGTCCCGTACTTTATTTTTCTAAAATGAATGAATCATAGGTTGGGGAAGCAGTTCAGCTGAAGTGCTTGGCATGCAGGCCTGAGGACCTGCACCACCTAGACAAGCACCACCTAGACAAAGGGTGAAGGAGGCACACAGCTGGGAAGGAGGAGGATACCTGGGGCTCAGTGGCCAGCTGGTGCAGCCCAATCGGTGAAGCCTAGATTCACTGAGAGACTCTGTCTCACAATACAAGGTGCAAAGGGTCTGTGTGTGGAGATCAAGGGAGGTGCCTGATGTTTGCGTCTGGCCTCCTTGTGAACATGTAATCATATGTACAAACACACAGCATCATATAAGCAAAAACAAGCAGGCACGCAAGGTGACTCACTAAGGATCATCCTGTCACATGAAGGACAGCATCTCAGCCCCAAACGGAGCATAACAATGACAGAGCAAAGCCCGTGCTGTCTGACGGTACAGGCTCTACCGATCCTGACACTGCATGGACGGCCCCTCAGGGGTATCTCAGGATGCTGGACCCACCTGTGGGAGGCCTAGGGGAACCTGGCTCGTGGCTACTTACTCACACACCCTGAGACCCTGCAGCTCTCATTTCCTAACACAGAAGAAAAGCATGTCTGGGCATATGCTTGGCAACTGTCACCTTAATTGGATGGGGTTTAAGTTAGAAACATAATGTCCTCACAGACTCCACAGTCACCTTCCAGCCAGAGGTGAGAGGCAGGAGAGCTCAAGAAAAGGACTGTGGAGATAGACCATGGCTAGATGAGTCACTTGAGAGGCCCCTGACGCAGTCCTACCCAGACTTATGACAGGGAAGTATCATCCATTGCCCTTCCCATCCATCTATCCATCCACCCACCCACCCACCCATCCACCCACCCACCCACCCATCCATCAGCCCACCCATGCACTCATCCATGCACCCACCCTCCCATCTATCCAGGACAATGTGGAGCAGCTATAGACCAACTCTCAGCTGGGGCCCAGCCAGGGAAACAAAGCAGAACCCCACTCTGGCTTTCTAACCTGAAAATATCCTTTCAGATTGGCTGGCGTTTTATAGTCTCCTTTCAAGACCTAGGAAAGAACATAAGTGTCACTGTGGGAGAAATGGCAGAGAGTGAAATCCAGGTCATCACTGACACATCTGTCCCTCCACCCATCCATCTGTCGCTTCACCCACCTGTCAGATATACTCTTCTCGCCCACACCCCTCCCTTTATCTATGCATCCTATTAATCCACCCACCTACCCATTATTCTATCCATCATAAATCCATCAGTCTGTCCATCTATCATCTGTCCGTCCATCCATCCATCCATCCATCCATCCATCCATCCACCCATCTTCCTTCAGCAACATTAACCAAGAGCCTTTTATTCTATGTACATGGGACAGTGTTAACCAGGTGACTGGAGTTCTTGCTCCCCTGCAGCATCTATTTCTGACAGGGGCACAGATGACTTGCAGGTCACAGTACTCAAAGACCACCGCAGGCTTGTGAAGCCCTGGGATGTACCAGGAAGGCAGAGAGGCAGAGCAGTGTGGTTGGGATTGATCCTGGGTTTCTGCAACCACATTATAGGTGAGACCCGAAGGACGAGTAAAACCAGCCAGCTTAAACAGAGGAGAGAAAGTCCTCAGGCAGAGGGTAAGACTGAAGCCTGAAGGGTGTGGGCAGCGCCCTGCTTCAGAGCGCTAGCTAGCTCCTGTGTCAGAGCCACCTGCGGCTTGCAGCCACAGTGACCAACCACAGAACAAAAATCTCATGAGTCTGCTTCTCATCACAGAGCTACTGGGGCCCAGGGCCCAGGACGGGGAGACAGACTGCCTGGAGCGCTCAGGTACCCACGCCTGGCACTGGCCACTGGCTCCCACATGGCATTTCCCCTGAGGTGTCCCTCTGCGACAGTGTCTGAACACCACGGAGATCAAGACAGGGCCCTTGCCAAGGCCAGACACCCAAGGAGAAAATGTTTCTGGCTCTCTGGGAGAAAATTAGGCACTGTTTCATTTTAAATAAAAAAGGTTCAAACAATTGATCTGATTGATCCGACAGCAGCATCCACTAGAATTCCTGTTCTATATAACAGAATCTGACTTGTCCTGGGAGGTTTAGACACGTCCTCATGGCGCGCACACACAACTGCATTCACACACACACAGAACTGCATTCATACACCCCCCCCACACACACACACAGGAAAAAGGAAGGAACCTCAGTGTGTCCTCTTCCTGCTGTGGCCACCTAGGGCTGGGTTTCTGATACTGCCAGGGCTCTGCCTTTAAGCCTAGACTACTGTAACTTGGGATGGAACCCAGCTCGCGAACGCTGGGTAAGGACTCCGCCACCACACCTAGCTCCTTTTTTTAATTGACATAAGCCAACTACTCAAACAACTCAAGACGCTGGGTGACGGACGCCAAGCAGACCTGACTGCTGAGCCACTGACCTGCTCTTACAAAACGCCCGTGTCAAAGCCACTAACTTCCCTGAGTCACTTTCACAACGTGACGGTGATGTCAGCAACTCCCAGTCTGAGAAATCAACGTGATAGTGTAGGGGACAGTAGTGTGGTCCATTCTTTATGTACGTTTTCTCTCAAGGCTCAAAGGGCTCTACACACACTCACACACACACACCACACACACACACACACAGAGAGAGAGAGAGAGAGAGAGAGAGAGAGAGAGAGAGAGAG